GCTTTTTTCCAGCCTGACCCTATATCCGCTAACATTGCTCGTCGAGGGAGGCGATGGCTTGGCATACGTAACACATGTCCTAACCATCTCAGTCTTTGTAGCTTCACGACTTCGTCGATTGATTTCCCCTGTTTACCTAGAACTCTACGCCTAACCTCCATGTTGCTCACCTTATTATGCCACTTTACACGGGAAATAGAACGCAGGCACCTATGATCAAAGACAGCTAGTCTTTTCATGTCTTCCACTCTCAGTGGCCAGGTCTCACAACCATAAAGGAGGACGGAGCGGACTGATGAGCAGTACACCCGCCCTTTGGTCGATAGTCGAACATCTCGTCTACGCCAGAGTCGGCGTAAACTAACAAATGCGAAACGAGCCCCTTGTATTCGTGCTGAGATTTCGTCAGAGATCAGCCCGTTGGGGCTGATGGTACTTCCCAAATAAGTGAAGCGGTCAACGTGCTCTACCACTTCACTTCCTATTTTTAAACTAGGCGTCGATGTAGTCCAGTCCTGTAACATCATCTTGCATTTGGCGGGAGCGAATCGCATGCCAAACATTCGTAGATTGCGGCTCAAGGTGTTTAGAAGACTCTGCATTTCGTCAGCGTCTTCGCCTAGAAGGACTATATCGTCTGCATATTCCAAGTCAACGAGATTATTCCCCGGTAGCAAGTCAATCCCTGAGTCGCTGAAGTCACCTAGGGTTAAGTCCATTAACACATCTATGATGAAGTTGAATAGAAAAGGAGATAATGGGCATCCTTGACGGACACCACTGGTCGTCATCAGTTCAGATGACAGCTCGCCGTAAGCCCTCACCTGGCTGTATGAGTACGAATAGAGTGCCTTAATCAGTGCAATATATTTTCTTGGAATTCCCTTTACAGCCAAGCATCTCCAGAGAACTTCCCGATCGACAGAGTCGAATGCTGCCTTTAGGTCAAGAAATATAATGACTGTTGGACGCCGGTAGGAATGCCTATGTTCTAGAATCTGTCGGAGGGTGAAGATATGATCAATACACCCTCTTCCTGGTCTAAAGCCTGCCTGGCTCTCTCGTGTTTGTGCTTCCCGAGCACCACTCAGTCTACGCATGATTATTGAGCCTAAGACTTTAGATACTATATTAGTCAAGCTAATCCCTCTGTGATTATCACAGGAAGACTTGTCTCCCTTCTTGTATATGGGGATAATCAGTGACTTACACCAACCCGATGGGACTTCTTCTGATTCCCAGACGCTGCCTAGTACCTCAGTTAATCCGGACAGTAAGCTGTCTCCACCGTACTTAAATACCTCTGGAGTCATTCCATCAGGTCCCGCTGCTTTGCCTAGTTTCAGATTGGTGACAGCTTTAGTAACCTCAGTTAGTGACGGAGGACCTGTGTCTATATCCCATTCAGGGAGGTGTTGGATGCTCGGAAGGTTGAGCGTGGCTGTGGGCAAATTAAACTGCTCCTCATAATGCTCTTTCCAACGATCCAGTCGTCTATCCTGTGAGCTAATTATAGTGCCATTTTTTTCCGAGATTGTCTCACTAATGATTTGTCTTCTCCCACCCGTTTCCCTGATGAGTCCAAAGAGTTGCCTGGTGTTGCCTATCCTCAAAGCTTTCTCCATCTCTTTGGCTTTTGTCGCCCACCACTGTTCACGGTCCTTGCGGAGACTTTTCGTAAGTTTCCTCTTGTGCAGCTTTCGCTCCTCATTGAATTCGGAGCTCGCCGGAATAAGTCTTCTAGCATCTATCAGTTCGGATGAGGCGGTGGAGATCCAGTGGTTTTTACTCACCTTTGGGTTTACCTTATTCACAGACTGGAAAACTGATAGCAGGTTGTCTGCCTAGATAATAAAACAATCTACAAACCATCCTAATCTGGCATAAATTACAAAATAACAAATTCATTTGCCATATAAAGAATAATTTACTAATATTTAAACCACGATTATCCTTGTTCTTCTTTTAAAGACAAAGCTACTTCTGTCAGCAATAGTTATTTCCAGTGAGGCAATTACGAGAGAGGAAGAAAGGTAAAGCGTAGCAGCTACCTCGATAGTACTTGCCGTTGACTTTGCGAGACTAATTGGAATTAAGGAGAAATAAGAGTTGGGAGATTGTGAGAAAAGATGACTTTAAGCCATGGCAGCAGTGACCACATAGTCATTGCTTTTACGTTTAGGATTCATTCTCTCATACACAGGTCAAAATCTGCTCGTCCAAACATTTGGAAAGCGGATATACAAGGAATCCGGAACGCAGCAACTGCGGTTGACTGGTCAGTTGATACAAGTCGGACTGTCGAGGAAGCTTGGGTAGGATTTAGGAATACACTAGATCGTGTCACTTCACCTTTTATACCTTGGTAAACTCCTCGAAAGCTGTCGCATGAACCACCTTGGATCACTAGTGAAATTAGGAGGTTATTAAGACGGCGAAAGAACTTATGGGACCAATTTGTTATGACAGGAAGGGAAAACTTCCAGAAAGACTACCGCAAAACTCGAAACCTCTGTAAGTATGCGATTAACAAGAGTCGTACAGAGTACGAGAGACGATTAGTACTAGATTGCGTTCATTACCCAAAAAGGTTTTACTCGTATATTAAACGTAGGACTAAAACTAGCAGTGGTATACCGTCACTCATAACCATTAGTGGAGAAGCGGCTGAGTCAGACGAAGGAAAGGCTGAAAACCTCTCTGAATACTTCTGTGACGTCTTCTCGTCTGATAGTACCACCCAGGGATATGGCGAGGTCACTGCCATCGCCACTCAGATGCCCTTAATTGTGGTAGAGCACACAAAGGTTCTCAAACTACTGTCTAAACTGAAGCCAGGTAAATCACCTGGGCCGGATGGACTTCACCCTAAGCTGTTAATTTCCTTGGCGGATATAATATATATTCCACTTACGGAGATTTTCCAAATGTCTCTGACGCAGGCTAAGCTACCCAGGGACTGGAAGGATGCCATTATAAGCCCTATCTTCAAGGACAGGGATATGCAATTGGTATCTAACTACAGGCCGGTAAGTCTGACATGGATTATTGCAAAGGTATTGGAAACTATTATAAGGGATCAACTATTAGCTTATGTTGAAACACATGGCTTGTTGGCTGTGGAACAGCATGGATTCCGACCAGGACGATCCTGCTTGACAAACCTACTTTTGGCTAGGGAAGACTGGGTTGAGGCCAGAGATAGGAACCATCTGTTGGACGTGGTTTTTATTGATCTTAGCAAGGCATTCGACAAAGTATCCCACTTAGGTCTCCTTAGTAAACTTAAAGGTTTCGGACTAGACCAATGCCTATGTGAGTGGTTTAGAGATTACTTAATGGATAGAAGGCAGAAGGTTAGAGTTAATGGTGTACTATCAGGATGGAAAGCAGTATCCAGTGGAGTGCCCCAGGGAACTGTATTAGGTCCATTGCTATTCCTATTATACGTTAACGAATTACCAGGGATTCTTTCTTCATCTTCATTATTATTTGCAGATGACATTAAGATATGGAAAACTGTAAACAATAACGAGGATAGGTCGGCCCTACAAACTGATTTAGATAAATTAGCTGAGTGGTCAAGCCTATGGAGTTTGGAAATGAATGCTAGAAAAAGCGCGGTAATGCACTTAGGTCAGAAGTCTTATGCGTCGTACTCCCTAGGCGACGCAGAACTACCTGATGTTAACGAACAGAAGGACCTAGGAATCATTGTCAGCAATGATTTGAAGACAACTGCAAATTGCAATGCAGCCGCAGCTAAAGCATTTCGAATGCTATGGGCAATTCGAAGGACTTTCAAACGATTAGACGAGGGCATGTTTCAAATACTCTACGCAACGTATGTCAAGCCTAATCTAGAATATTTTTTTTTATTTTATTTTTTTTATTTATTTTTTTTTTTTTTGATTTACAGCTTGATTCCACACTGTATTTTTCGTACAAGTATGGAATTTTCAGCATGGATATCGGTAGCCCAAATTTTTGCAGGCCGACCATAGATATCAGGTGTGCGCCGGTGTGGGCTCGAACCCCGGACCATATGCATGGTCGGCGAGAGTCCTAACCACTGTGCCACCGACGCATACAAGCGACGAGTCCATGCTTCAAAAAGGAGGCACATATTCTGGAAAGAGTACAGAGAGTAGGAACAAAATTAGTTAGTGGTATCTCACACCTTCCTTATGATAAGAGGATGGAGCATTTAAATCTCTTCCCGTTATCATACCGAAGGAAGAGAGGCGACTTAATTTTAGCATACCGTATACTTAAGGGTGGTTTAGGAACTGACCTTTCTAACCTTTCTCCCCTTCTAGGATACATTTACGGGGTCACCGCAGAAAGGTGCTCAAACCAAGGACGATTAAAATACGTGCAGAATTTAGATTCTCTCACAGAGTGGTCAACGATTGGAACTCCTTACCTGATTTAGTAGTATCAGCTCCATCGGTGAAAGCTTTCAAAGAGAAGTTAGATCTCTGCAGAGATATACTTTACAAGGATTAACACAGGCCACAAGAGCCTTCTATCCTTATCATCTGAATCTGACATCTCTCTTTGACTTTGATTTCGTTCTTCACTCTAATCTCAAAAGTGACAAGTATAGGAGACAGGTACAACAATCAATGAGATAGAAGGGTTAGGTCGACGAGGTTAGAGGTCAAGTGAAGGGCGAGGAAGATGTTCTCTCACCAAACCTTTTCCCAAAATTCAGTTTTTAGGAGTGGGAATGAATGATAAAATTTGGTCTCTGATGCACTTCTTAAAATACATGGTCTCTTAATTGTTACGCTTGTTTGCCTAGCTTGAAATCTTCACCTTCAGTAAATGGTGAGATACTTTCTTTGGGAATCGATTTTGTATAACAAGAACAACTTTGGTCCTACATGTTTCTTTGCGGATACGCATAAAAAGAGGAAGAAGCAATTTATAAGTCTTATAATATACTATGACACACGGATTGAAAACACAGTAGGACGAAGACTGATTAAACTAACCTGAAGTAATCCTGCTTTCTACAAAATCGCCCGACATCGGTATTACATTAGATATCGCTCTCTTTACAGTTCGATGACCTTTTAGCGCAATATAACCATTGAGAATTCAACAACATTAGGTTTCAATGTCCAATAAACTTCATTCAGATCCATGTTTTTTTAAAACCTAATTTTTCAGTGAAGAAGAAAACTCTGAGTTCTCTGACAACTCTTATTCATAAAATATGTGCACCTATCTATCTCCTTCATCAGAAATCAATGTAAGAAATGAAGGACTAAGAGGTACTTGGTCTTCAGTCTTCTGTGATTAGGGATATTTGTCTAGAGTAGCTTGTACCAATCCATACCGAATGCACATACATCTGTGTAAATACAACCTTGTCCTGAAAGGATTCACAGATGGAATCAACATCACTTGGCCTAGTAAAGAATTTCAGTTCTTGACCACTATGTGGGAATTGAATTCATGTTCAGTTGTAACATATTTCACGACGGCCTTCAGAAGGCATGGAGGGATAGAATTAAATTTCAGAAAGGTCTGTATAAAAAGCACGGTAAAGCATATGAAAAGTCAAAATAGAGCCACCCCTCCTTCTACGGCATAGTGATGTGGAGAGGTCTGAACTTTCATCCAACTTCTCATGAGGGAAGTGAGGGCCACCTGCGATGTCTGTCCACTGCTCTGTCTCATGGACCACTAATTCTTTCATAAGGCAGAGACCAGGGGCCTGTAAACATTATATGGTCCGAAAAATTCTTGGTAGATTTCCACACAAATATGTATTCTCACGTATGTACTCCGAATCCCTGCATGGTACGCACAGTGTGCCAAAATCCTTGAGCACAGCTGTTTTATAGTGTGCAGCCTAAAGTTTGAATCACAATAAAACCTGGATAATTCTGTTTCTTAAAGTTAGGTAATTCTACTCCCCCAGGAAGTGAATTAAGTAGGATTATCGGTACTGCTAAAATTTCTCCAGCATTTATCCAGGAACTGCAACCCATTGGTAGATTTAGTAAATTATTTAAGGAGTAATCTGGAGGTATCCCTGGATTCTGCCCAAATATGCTAGTTACCAGGAGATACTGTAAACAAGTTCTTTATGGTCTACTCTTTCTCCACTAATGGTCTATATTTCGCAGCATACATTGGACTTAAGCCCCTTGCTATTTTCGCTGATACACAGGGGAAAATGCATTTCAGGAACACAAGCCGGCTATGTGGTACCATTGGTACTCTCTCTCCAGGATAACTTTATAACTACATCTTTCTCAGTCATGAGTAGCTTTCTCCTGAGAAAGAGAATTAATGAATATCTCCATGAGCAGTTGGTTTTTCTTGTCGCATGAGTAGAGTAGCGGCCTAAGCCAGAGTCCTTCATCTTCGTGTATGAAATGTCTACACATAAGCCTGTCAAACAATAGTCTGCTGTATGATGACGTCCGTTTAGGTATGATCTAACTCAGACACTTACAAATAGTTGACTATTTAAACCGTCAGCGTTGGCACTTGTTAACCTTTGAGTCATAGATTAGGTGTATATGGAACCCATAGGGACTTTTAAGAGATGAAGGATGTCGAAGGTAACGCGAGATATGCCAGATGGCTAGACTGCTGAGTGAATGGATAAGTAACTATGTCAGGAATCATAGCTGCTGTCAGAAGGTAGCTGTTTAGAAATCAGAGTACTAGTTTGGTACATGATAACCAACTTAACTTCAATTCAAATAGCAATGATAGACAGGGAGGAAAGTCGAAGATTTATTGCTCAAAATACCAATATAACGTAGCTAATTATAGAGCAGCTCTGAAATCGATTTCAGAGTTGACTAATGTGAATGTACTGGAAAAAGTCCACAGATAACGTCAATATACTGTTAGTTAATGCTTCTGATTGCATTGCTCTGGGCTTCTACCTGCCATAAAAAGTTACAATCCCGTCGGGGACTGTCACATTCAGCGAAAGTAAAATTAGCACGAATACGCATGATCAGTGGAAATTCCTTTAATATTCGCTGACATCGACACAGACCAAGGTCAAACCAGAACAGCATACTGATTTTCCACCATAGGAGATATATTTATGGATCAGAAACGAAAAATGACAGTAGCTTGACTGGCTAGGCATCGTCCACAAGAGACAGAAAGTTATGCGACAGGATGCCAAACGGCTTTGGTAATTGACCGTGTTCCTTTAGCCAACCCGTGGCTTGCAAGACTTCCATTTTCGTCAAAATACTGATCTTCGCAGGCGGATATCACACTACATTTGAACAGCAGCCTCCTGGCAGAAGCAGAATTCTTTAAGGTAACTGAGTTACTAAAATGCCGCGAAAACAACGGAAGATGAAATTCACTCCGAAGCAGCATGGCTGATTAGGATTCCTCAGCCGACATGATTACATTACCAGTGCACGAGGTGTGGGAGGAAAGATACCTGCTCACCCGGAGAAAGTCTGTCTTCTGCATTTGAAAAAGAAATACTATTTGAGTCTATGCGAAAACTAGCGTGAAGTCTGCTGTCCACCATGAGCAAAATATCAAGCTATATGACCCTGGCAAGTCTCAACAATGGCCTTATGGGAAAACATAGCCCGGAAGAAAACGGATTCAGGAGGAGAAATCGTGTGTGGATAATTGCACGACTGGGTGCTGGAGATCATATGGTGGACCAGAAAGGATGTGCAAGTGAGAATTTCAGCAGTAAACTAGCTAATAACCAGCTGGTCTTTAAACGTGCAGGTGGAAATGGAAATCTACTGGACGCACGATCGGGAGAAATTCAGATTGCATCAGACGCCTGACAGCGGTTTAATGGTACCCAAATGGGAAGTGGCAACTTAGGTCCTACGTAAGTGACGTAGAGGAGAGCATGTGAAGAGGAAATTAAAACTTCTGAGTAGTCGTGGAGCCAGATGAATTGGACATGGATGTGTGCTGTTGAGGCTTTGTGTGAGATTCCTCATTCCATAGGTATATGATAACGGGTTTCCCTTCCTCAAAGTAGTAAAAAATACAACTAATTTTCCAACCTGGAATTCTCCAAATTGTGATCTGTTAAATCAATCTACGCATTTTTACTCTGTTATAATATAATATATATTTATTCCTCTTTATGTAGACGTTTATGCATCGGTGCTTTTTTATCAACTTGTGTAAAGGAGGTGATGTCTTGCTCTTACTTGAAATTTTCAACTCCAAAAACTCACTGATTTTTTAATATATATATATATATATATATATGATAAGGACACATTTACTCCTGTCCATTCAAGAATACCCCTTGAAATTTCACCATGTCGTCCACCGAGTGTCCCTGAGCAATTAAACTGTACAAAACTTATTAACACGTTAATGAAATATGAAATCAAATATATTGATGTCTGAACACGGTTATTAGCTTTTGTATTAACTCCTGTCTGTAACCATGTTTTAATTCCAACTGTAGTTCAACCCTAAGTTATGGCTTTGCTGTAAACCTAAGAAAATTTTGAATACATATTAGCAGCAATCTGTGAAAGCGGAAGATCCCGAATATATATGGTTTGTCTGCCAGTTTAGTTGAAGATTGAACGATCAATTCATGGTTATTTGCTCAAACCCAACTCCTCCCTATTTTTCGCGGGAGTCATCAATCCAGCAGACATCATCTCATCGTTCGCTGTTCGTCAGAAGAGAGAAAACTATCAGAAGTATTATTGTGATTTATTGTTATAACATTTATTCTCAGACTTTGTGTATAATGACCTTATGTTTGGCTCTGTATTGGTGCAAGAAAAAACGGTTCTTGAGTCACCGATTTGTATTCTGGCTTTTTGTGTTCGCTGTTGTGCATAGTTTCTGAAAGTATTCCAAGGATAGCATGAGGTCCAGTTTAGTAAGACCTGGACATTGACATGGTCATATTACTTCTCTCCAAGTCATTCTGAACGTCTCCAATGATGGCTACTACTTTGAAATTCCGCCCCTCTTTTGTCTTGCGACATATAACTAGTCTAAAGTAGCTGCATACATCCCTGATTTAATTCAGTAACTACTGGTAACAAAGACGAGCTGAAAGTTTGTCCAATTTACGTGGTGTCCCAGAAAGCCAGTTAGGTGCGCTGTTTGAATGACTTTGGGCTCACCCGCAATCGGCTTCAAGTAGAAACAACACTCAGAATTTTTGTGTGACTGTCTACCTTGCTATTGATATAAGTATAAAACTTGGAAACTGTGGTAGAGTATAACTCCATTATGGATAAGATTTTTTTTTTGATAATTCACACAATGTTGTACAGATATATTAACTGATGACGTTTTGATCACAAACTATTGCTCATAATCATATTAAGTAGCTCACACAACTTTCTACCTCGCTAGACCTGCTCTTTAGCCACATCGCCTGCCAACCGTTTAGCCTGAGCATCCTGGCTTGATGGCCACATTGCCCTCAGAATCGTCCCAAGTGATGAAAGAAGAATACGTACTTGCAGCTGTTCATAGTTATATTTATTTTTACGGTGGTATTGAGAGGATCCCCTTTGAATCCATTGGACTACTACATGTTTCGTTCCTCACATGTAAACAAATCAGTCTTTGACTGGGAAACAGCTAAGGCTCAGTCCAATGGACGAAGGTCTTTGGTCCCCTTTGGTATACGGAGTTCGCAGAAATTACACGAAGGGATACCGAAAGCGCCATATACGCGTTGTCGAACCATTAGTTGTTTGCACCATGAGACCAGATGTGTACCTTAAAAGGATTACGTAAATTCATTCAATCTACCATGGCCAGAGTAACATCCTTGTAGCAGTTAAGTTTCGCTATGTTACCTGACTTTTTAGTCCATTATTGTTACTATCATTAGCAGTGTTCAATAAAAACGCTTCATTTTTCAGGTATTTTAACACGGAACTCTACGGCATCTCTACTTGTTTCTGTTAATTTTGTTTATTTTTCGAGCTCGCCACATAAGTCTGTCTTTCTATTTACAGTCCTCACTAAGGCGTTTTCTTCTAAATTGCGCCAGATATCACACAGGATATTATATAGAA